GCTTAATTACTGATATACTTTTGACTTTGAGGTGTCTGCATCTAAAGCTTTTACTTGTAGATACATTTTTATTCCATTCCTATTATTTTTTCTGCATTGGCCATGGCTAGTATCTTTCTAAGATGATGGTGTGACATTTCAAACTGATCTTTCAGTCATAAATTGGAGTCGGTTTAGTTACAATCTCAGTCTACGTCGCATCAATCATATCCCCTTCCGAAAGTTCATAGTCGCTATTATTCTGCTTATATATACAGCGTAACCTCGCACAGACAATTAATTTTGAAATTTTGGAGCCATTGGAGTGAAGTTTGCACCTTGTTGAAGTTTATGAGCATTCGAACCTTCTCTCACATTTCATCTTCAAGCCATTGGAGTGAAGTTTGCACCTTGTTGAAGTTTATGAGCATGCTAACCTTCTCTCACATTTCATCTTCTTGATTATGTTTTTCAGGTATGCTCGGTCTCCTTCTCCTTTGGATGAAAATGTAAGATCTAGGTCAAGGTCAAGATCTAGATCATGGTCAAGGCCAAGGGACAGGTCGAGATCGAGGTCGAGGTCAAGGTCAAGATCAATGTCAAGAAATCGTGGCAGGTGATTAAAATTTTTCAGTGGTTTTCGCAAGATGCTATTGTTGCACTAATAAGAAATTCTTGTCATTGAGGTAAAAAAATAACTTTTCTACTTGAGATGGCTTTTGTTTATGCTTATTCTTTCCTCTGATTTGTCATTTAGGAGTGATGCTAATAATCCTGGGACTACACTATATGTGACTGGTCTTTCTATGAGGGTAACTGAAAGAGACCTTGAAGATCATTTCTCGAAGGAGGGAAAGGTTGGCTCCTAGTTATTGCTAAATGTGTTTTTGGTGTAAAGCTTTCTTGACAAAATGTGTCTGTTAGTTGATTGCTGTTGGCATGTTTTGTTATAGTTGATAAGTGAAATCTGAAATGTCTTGTATCTTGTATCTCCTGTAATATCTGTAATCTGTACCGAAAAATGGTATTCTTCCTGGTATCTCAAGTTGTTGAGTTCTCCTATTCAACCTTGTCTGGACTTATTTGTAACTTTTCCCCTGACGATATCCTTTTGTTTCCTCTATTTTCCAGGTGAAATCGGTATTTTTGGTTGTGGAACCGCGTTCTCGTGTCTCTCGTGGTTTTGCATTTATATCAATGGACTCTGCTGAGGATGCGAATCGGTGCATCAAGCACCTTAATCAATCAGTTCTTGAAGGTCGATACATAACAGTGGAGAGGGTAAGAAGTTACCTATACACGACACACGACCAATTTGATTGTATATCAGTCTTTTTGACCTGGAGATTTTCCGGTTATATTCAGAAGACATTGCATCAGCTATGTTGGCAGCAATCAAAGATGATCAGTCCATCCATTGCAACATTTAATCAAACAGCTTGATCAATGGCCAGCTAAAACAGCTTTTCATTTGCATCTGATCAACTAAATAGCAATTATTTGCACAACAAATACAACCTCAGGAAATACTTTCACTTCTCAACTAATCAAGGGTCATTGACAACATTCTAATCAGCCTTCTATGGTATCTCACACTTAGCATTAGTTTTATCGCTTGTTTCTTTTGTTTCTTTAAACCAAAAATGGAATAGATGCTATTTTTCTTTAATTAACTTGCTGCTAATGAGTTTCACTCCTTAGGGCCCAAAGGAAAGAAATATAGATGTATTTTTTCCTTCTGCTGTCCCTCATCTGTGTCATATAAGATTCTTGGATACACTATTCTGACCAAAAGCTCATCTTTTTTATTTGTACGTGCTTGTAGCTATGCATGCTAGACCTTCCTTTTCCAGATTGTCTATTGAGACCCTTTTTATTTTTCAGTCCAGGAGGAAACGTGCAAGGACTCCTACACCTGGTCACTATCTTGGGCTCAAAAACAGCAGGGGTGATGGTGAGTTGCTGTTGTCTTTTTTGCTGTTGATCTTTATTCATTTTGAAAGCAATGTGTAAAGTAATGAGAAACTAATCCATTGCTTGGGGTGAAAGGTTATCGTGGTAACTCTGGTGGGTATCGTAGAGGCTCTGGCCGTGGTGACGACTTTGGGTACCGGAGGTCTCCTAGGCGCTCCCCTTACAGAGGTGGACGTGATTACTCTCCTAGTCGCTCCCCCTACAGAGGTGAGCGTGATTACTCTCCTAGGCGCTCTCCCTACAGAGGTGAACGTGATTACTCTCCTAGGCGTTCACCTTATGGTGGAAGGTCAAGAAGGGACAGATAAAGGTCATATTCTCCTCGATGGAATTATGTTATGCATGTTGTTCTAGGTAAAGATATGTTGGATTTTAACCTATTTTGTTTGAAAGGACAAAGACTTGTATGATTATGTTGTGGTTTGGACTTGACTGGTGAGGATTCTCCTGTGGTATGATACTATGCATGTTGTTCAGGTATTAGTTAAACTTTCATGAATGTGAAAATTTGTCAGTAGTGTGGTTTTGCTGTAGTTATGTTTTGGTGAATGCTTATTATACGATGCGACTGTTTAGTCACAGGGCTTTCCTTTTCGTGTGGTGCGTTTAAAATTATCTTATTGTTCCGAGTAGTGCTATCCAATATTTTTAAAGAAATTTATATTGGAACAACTTTCTCTAAAGGATCTTTTAATTAGAAGGAACATTTTCATAAAATCGGCTAAACGGATTCAGAAGTAACTTTTGAGTCACAAAAAGTTTCTTTTGACTTTTTAAAAATTAAGCTAAGTGGGTCCTAAATGTCTAAGTACAGTATTTATACCAGTTTTGCCATGTTTGACAGCTATTCATTAACACTTTTTAGTCGACTTGAAAATTAACCAAATTATAACATTGACAACTAAGGTATAAAAGATCTATGAACGGGAAAAAAGGTTGAAATCAGTAAAAGTTGCAACTTTACTGCTAAATCGAGATCTAGATTAGAATTGTCAAGTAGGGATGGCAATTGGCATGGAAAGCTTGTTGGCTTGTCTTGTGAGGATTAGGCTCATGGGCGACTTGGGCTTGGAATCGAACCCTAGCTCTAGCTGAGTTCAAGTTTGTCGAAGCTGGCTCACTGCCATGTCATTTAAAAAATTAATAATTTCAATTTTCTCAGTTACAAAAAATAGAAAAATTGAAGTCTTGAGTGGAAATGGACTAATTTGCGCTCTCTTTTGTGTCGGCGAGCCATTCGGAGCTCAGCTTGCCTACCAAGCCGAGGTCAGACTGAATTAGCCATTTTGGACAATTTCAATTCATCAAGTTTTTTGGTGAAATAATTACATCAAAACGTTGTTTAGAGTCTGTTTGGTACAAATTCTCATATTTTACAGTAAATCAATTCTCATTTTCAACCACACATTCTTCAATAAAGTAACATTTTCCATCACATCAATACTTTTTTCTTCTTTTTCAACCACACATTTCCCATCATATCACTATTCAAAAATCAATTCTTCTCCCAAAAATCCCTACCAAACACACTCTTAATTGCCAGACTTTTATGATAATCTGGTAGGTCCCGTGCATTTTTTATTTTTTTTAATCACATGGTGGGTCCCACGCATTTCTCTTTGTTCTGGCAATATTCTGGTGGCTGCCTTCTGTACATTGGGGGAAAATCCTTTCCACCACCGCCGCCTCAATCTTCATCTCCACAAGCTGCCACTACGGAAAAAATATCCTTTTTTTGAAAAATTGTAGTCTCTTACATATTGAATTTTAGCGACGTTTGTAGTTAAGGGGGAAAATCTGTGGTGATGGCAAAATATGTAATTTTGTGGTAGTAGTGTGGATCCGACGTTACAATCTAGGTGTTAGAGGTGGTGCTGGGGTTGATAGTGATGAGAATGCAGATATAGATAATGCACAAGTGGTGTAAATGTGGTGGTTTGAAAAGGTGGTGGCGGTGATGAGGACGAGGACGGTAACATGAGGACGATGGAATACCAATGATTATTATAATTAGTGGGACCAACAACGGTGATAGAAAGATTGAATGTTACATTATGCCCCCCGTTTGATCTATATTATTATTTCATTAAAATGAAAAATATGACCGTTATCCATTACATCAACATTTAAATTTAAATTTTCTATCTCTTATGTGGGCCCCAATAACGACTATATTTTTCATTTCCATTCAGCAATAACTAGGCTCAAACAGGGCCATAACAGAATTTGTTATAATTAATTGCAGCAATGGCAATGGTAACGGTAACGATGGAGGTGGAGGAAACATGTGTAACAATGCAACATAATGTGTTACAAAATGTGACATTTTTGAAAATGCAAAACCAAAAATTGAATTTAGTGTAATTTCCTCGTAAAAAAATAGATCTTGAGAATAATGGTATACTTTTTTAATGTATTTTTGAATAGTTCCTTTTTAATTGTTGGCAGCGATTTTTGTCGTCCCTAAGTGAGGTAGAGTGGGCCAAGCTCAAACTATCTACATTGGATCCCACTGTGGGCAGCAGTTCTGCCAGTATATAACGGCTATTTTTTTCTGTCATCCCCATCGGCAGAAATTCAATAAAAGCAGCTGGATAACATCGCGTCGATGATTGCTCCCCGTCAACAGGCCTCTTCAACTCGAACGTTACAACCTTGAATAAATCGAATAAAACATTGTATAAAAAATTGTGTACTTTTTTAATGTATTTTTGAATAGTTCCTTTTTAATTGTTGGCAGCGATTTTTGTCGTCCCTAAGTGAGGTAGAGTGGGCCGAGCTCAAACTATCTACATTGGATCCCACTGTGGGCAGCAGTTCTGCCAGTATATAACGGCTATTTTTTTCTGTCATCCCCATCGGCAGAAATTCAATAAAAGCAGCTGGATAACATCGAGTCGGTGATTCATCCCCGTCAACAGGCCTCTTCAACTCGACCGTTACAACCTTGAATAAATCGAAAACCACTCACTGCGTAGTTTCTCTTTCTTCTCAGTGCACTCTTTCTATCGGAATCAAAATAGAAGGGTAAAAAAAAATTGGGGAAAATGACAGTGGCAAGCGCCGCCTCAAGCCGCTGCAAGAAGGCTGTGAAAATGGGTCTTTCGCTCTTCCGCCGAGGCTTCAATTCCTCCAAATGGTAATTAGTTTCTTTCATTTTTGTCATTTTTGATTTCTATTTTGGTAGGAGATTTACTTCGTTGAATAAAAATTTATTTCCGAAATATAAATAGTAAATCAATGGCGAAAATGGCGGTGGCAAGAATAAAGCTTCTGAGAAACAAGAGAGAGGCAGTGGTGAGGCAAATGAGACGTGACATTGCCATGCTTCTCGAGTCCGGTCAGGACGCCACTGCGCGTGTTCGGGTAACCAGTTTTTTTTTTTTTTTAATGAAAAAATTTCTGTTGCAAAATTTTCACTTTTTTTTTCTTTCCACTTACTTTATGATTCTGCATAATTATCGGTGTTGTTGCTAGAACTCTTAAGTCCCAGGTTGTAGAGGAAATTTTTGGGTAGTAAAGTCTGAAGTTGTTGTTGGATGAATTTGTTGATTATTTTGAATGGTCTGTGCTTTTTGCTTAAATTAGAAAGTTGAATGGGATTAAGAGTTGATTCTTCACATGAAAGTTAATTAATTTTGCTATGATTTTCTGAAAGAAGTGCCTTCGTGATCATGGCGGATCTATGATTATTTAAATTGAAATGTTGGTCGTTTGTTGAATCTAACGTGAATCAGCATTAATTTAATCATAGCAGATACCTTTCCTAGTTGTAGCAGGTGGCTATTTCCGAAATGGCCGACTGGGAAGAGGCTATTTGCGTGTAAAAGCTAGAAAACAGAGAAAAGGGAAAGATGTTTGTTTGATAGAACAATTTCTTTTATGTTGTTTTGTTTTATCATCAACATTGTTTATGAAAAAATAATCTTATTCCCAAGAAACTTGGAGTTGGCTTCACGAGTCCTTTTCTGGTTTTCGTTAGTACATGCTTAGGGAGATCGAAAGTAACTATTTGCAACCGTAAAGCACCATGTTAGATTTCCTCTACCCCTCCATCTTTTAACTTGTTAGACATTGTGTCACTCTTATGAGTGAGTGCTCTTTATTTCTTATCCTCAATCCTTGTAACCTCCATTTTATACCTGTATATCGTTCATTACAATTAACTTTTGTGGTACGTTCTCCCTTGCCAAGATTTGATCAAAATGTTACTGTGATTATGTAGGTCGAACATGTAATTCGAGAACAAAATATTATGGCTGCAAATGAGTTCATTGAGCTTTTCTGCGAATTAGTGGTGGCCAGACTTTCTGTCATTGCAAAGCAAAGGTGTTATGCAAAACTATATTTCTTTTGAATCAATATGATTGTTTACAAGATAAAATCTCATCACAATTTCACTATCCAGAGAATGTCCAGCTGATCTGAAAGAAGGGATATCAAGTTTAATATTTGCAGCTCCTCGGTGCTCGGATATTCCCGAACTGTTAGCAATTCGAGATGTTTTTGAGAAGAAATACGGGAAGGATTTCGTTTCCACAGCTACCGATTTACGACCCAATGCTGGTGTTAATCGCACGGTATTTTTCCTAACCTTCAACTGTAGCTTCTATGAAACAGATTCTGTTTACGCTCAAATTGCTGAGAGCTGAAAATTTAGGCACTTTTAAGATGTTTTCTTCTTTGCAAATGCTTCAATGTAAGTGACATTTCATTGTTTACATGTATGTGTGTTTAATTCTTTTTATTTGTCTGAGTTATTGATTTCCGTTTCAGCTCATTGAAAAGCTCTCGATTAGGTCCCCAACTGGTGAAACAAAGTTGAAAGTTTTGAAGGAAATAGCAAAAGAATATCAGGCTAATTGGGATACAACAGAATCGGAGACCGAACTACTTAAGCCTCCAGAAAAACCTATAGTCTCTATACTCTCTCTCTCTCTCACACACGCGCGCGCGAAAAGCTGCACACTTGCACATATGTAAATATAATCTTCTATATCTACTTCAATTAATCTCTGCTCTTTTTGTGTATTAGGAAGGACCAAACAACTTTGTAAGTGCCAGTAGCTTACCTTTGAATTCAATACCCGAGAAATCTCCCGAGCCAAATATTTCAACACTCAGGTAATTTGTTTTCTAAGAGGATAGGGTTTGAAACTAGTAATTTTTCTTTCAAACGTGAAATTTTACTTAAATATTTGTTATAAGTAGCTTATTTTTCAATTTTTTATCCCTGGATAAATAGATGCTTGGACAATGAACATGGCAATATTTTGCACTATGAAAACCCAGCATCAGCTGCTGAAGCAGCTGCCGATTTTGCAAAGAAAGCCGCTTCTGCTGCTGAAGCGGCTGCCATTTTGGCCAACAGAGACACAAATGTGATAGGTAATTCTCGTGCTACGAGTAATAGATATGCTGTCAAAAAGAGTATGAAGGACAGTATTGGGAATTCTCAGAGTCTTAGGGGTGCAGAGATGAGGCCCCATGATGTGGAAGCCCAAAGTATCTATAGAAGACACAGCTATAATATTCCCTCGGCAGATTTAGATATGAAGTACGACGAATCAGATTATGATGAAGAAATCGAGATGGAAGAACCAACAAGTGGTGTTCCGAAGTTGGCCAAAGAAGTTACTAACATGGATAACAGAAAGATCTATAGACGGCACAGTGACAACCACAGTGTTCCAACTGGACACTCGGATATCAAGTTTGATGAATCTGATCGTGATGATGATCCAGACGAGGCGGACGAGTTTATGAGAGGAACTAATCTACCACCCAATATGCCTACACAGGAACAGTTTCCGGTTAGACATGTGCATCGCAAACTGCCAGACTATGACATGCTTGCTGCTCGTTTCGAAGCACAGAAACATCGTAGACCGCCAACCTGAATTTGTTGGAGTAACTTTCTATGCTTTATATAAATTTTGTTATTCTGAAGATATAATATATATTTTGGCTTATGCTTATGTGATGGTATTGGGAGTTAGCTTATGGTGATAATAATACTAGGAAAAAATGTTTGTCATTGGATCATTATGTTACTTCAACACCACCCTTTTACCCTCTGTATTGTAATGGAATTCTTTGAGATTCATATTGAAGTACTTCAGTGTGAAGCTTTACAGGTGATATATAGAAACTTCTAAATACGTTTAATATATACTGAATTTCCTTTGGTTTAGTTAAAAATCAAATTCTTAGTAAATTATGATAAAAGTTGATAAGATGTGTAATTGAAAAATTGATAAAAGTTGTGGGTCTCATGAAATGTGTGGTTAAAATTAATTGTTGACTTTTGACTTAAATTTTTATCGACTTTTTTAGTTAAATAAAGTAGGGGGCGCAATAATATTTTTTTTTTTTTTCTAATTCCATTGATTGTGCATGTTCATTACAACGAATTCATTGCTTTAGATATCGTAAAGAATATAAAGATAAATTGGGTTTGAGAGATTTGTTCTTTAAACAAAGAGTAACTCGAAATGACAAATTTTAGTTTTTGTCAATTTTAATTTCACAGTCCAAAGTATTGTTTATTTATCTGAGAACTTCCTTTGTCATCGTACCGAGTAACTAAGATACATCCCTCAAATTTTCATCATAAATAACAATGTGAAAATATCGAAAAAATAGCTACTTTCAAGATGAGTTTTTGGAATTCATCTTTACTAATAGTATATAAGCGATAGAGACTGTGTAACAAAAGAATTATTGAACCTATAAAAAGAAGGATTCTTACTCTACAAAATTGATAAATTCACATTTCAACTTATTAAACACCTTTCTAGAATTTCATTCGACTTTGTAAAAAATTTGAAGACAAACTCCACTAGCTTTTGATCATCTCCACTCCAGCAGGTTGATGTCATCGAAGTGTTGGATTCCAAGCATTTCAATTATGGGAGAGTTCCTTCTACCAAGGATTTAGATAAATATATTTTGCAAAAAATCTCCACCTTTTATTTAAAGTAATCTAAAAGTTGTTATATATCTAATTATAGAGTTAAAAATTTCATTAGTCACTGAACTTATACCTCTGTCATGGAGTTTAAAATACTTTCGAGTAATCACTAAATTTTAACACGTTGCACTCAATCATTCGCTCATCATGTTTCATAAGTCACTGAACTTTAAAATATTTTTGAGTGGTCAATGAACTTTAACACGTTGCACTACATTATCGTCCACCATGTTTCATTAATCACCTAACTTATACTTCTATCACGTCACTGACTGAATTTTTAAATACTTTCTAGTGGTCACTAAATTTCATAATGTTTTCGAGTAAAATTGATTTTCTACGATTCTCGAACTAGATAAAAAATAAAACAAATATCGAATAGATAATGAGACTATCAATCTAAGGCAAGGATATTGATATTGGTCAAGAAAGTGTAATGTCACTAGTCATCAAAAGTTATGTTCAAGAGGGATAGAAGAATGCTAGCTTCAAATTAATATAAATATTAATTTAGATTATAATCTTCATTTACATCGAGAAAATAAAATAGAGAAATTATATCATTATTTCAATTGAGATCGTAGGCTCAAATCAAGAAAATAAAAGGTTATAACTCAAATATGCAGTAATTTTTTTGATTTAGAGTCAAGAATATTAATCGAGACCAACATAATATAATTTTGAGAGTTGTCACAAGGTAATTCAAGAGGAAAGAATGTGGTCGTCTTCATATATGGTTTACTTCAAATTTTTCAATTTTTGAATAGTTGGATTTAATTAGTAAATCTTACAAGTTCAATATGTACGCATATATACATATATGTGGAGAGAGGAGAGTGAGTCTTTGAGGGATGGTAACTGGGTAGGCAAGATTTAAGGGGGTTGGGATGGTAATTTACCTATTTGGTGTTGGATGCGACTCATTTGGAGATTTTAAATTGTCTTAGTAAAATAAAAGCAGTTCGTCAGATACTTTTAAATTAAAGATTGAGATTTTTTGTCAAATAAATTTCTTAACTTAAAAAAAAAAAAAAAAAAATTAAAACCAAAAATCACACGTCTTTCCATTTCTTATAGATGAATTGGTTGGTAGTTTCAATCGAGTCAATCCATCCAACTTCATTATAATCTCATTACAATTTTTCCAAACGAGCACTTAGGCCGTGTTTTCCGGAGAAGTAGGAAAATATTAACAGTCCAAAGTATTGTTTATTTATATCAGAACTTACTTTGTCATCATACCGAGTAACTAAGATACATCACTCAAATTTTCATCATAAATAACAATGTGAAAATATCGAAAAAATAGCTATTTTCAAGATGAGTTTTTGAAATTCATCTTTACTAATAGTATATAAGCGATAGAGACTGTGTAACAAAAGAATTATTGGACCTATAAAAAGAGGATTCTTGCTCTACAAAATTTGATAAATTCACATTTGAACTTATTAAACACCTTTCTAGAATTTCATTCGACTTTGTAAAAAATTTGAAGACAAATTCCACTAGCTTTTGACCATCTCCACTCCAGCAGGTTGATGTCATCGAAGTGTTGGATTCCAAGCATTTCAATTATGGGAGAGTTCCTTCTACCAAGGATTTAGATGAAATATATTTTGCAAAAAATCTCCACCTTTTATTTAAAGTAATCTAAAAGTTCTTATATATCTAATTATAGAGTTAAAAATTTCATTAGTCGCTGAACTTATACCTCTGTCATGGAGTTTAAAATACTTTCGAATAATCACTAAATTTTAACACGTTGCACTCAATCACTCACTCATCAAGTTTCATAAGTTAGTGAACTTTTAAATACTTTTGAGTGGTCAATGAACTTTAACATGTTGCACTACATTATCGCCCACCATGTTTCATTAATCACCGAGCTTATACTTCCGTCACATTTTACTCACTGAATTTTAAAATACTTTCTAGTGGTAACTAACTTTCATCATGCTTTTGAGTAAAATTGATTTTCTATGAGCCTCGACCTAGATAAAAAATAAAACAAATATTGAATAGATAATGAGGCTATCAATCTAAGGCAAGAATATTGATATTGGTCAAGAAAATGTAACTTCACTAGTTATCAAAAGTTATGTTCAATGATAGCTTCAAATTAATATAAATATTAATTTAGATTATAATCTTCGTTTACATCGAGAAAATAAAATAGAGAAATTATATTATTGTTTCGATTAAGATCGTAGACTCAAATTAAGAAAACAAAAAGTTATATCTCAAATATGCAGTAATTTTTTTTTATTTAGAGTCAAGAATATTAATCGAGACCAACAGAATATAATTTTGAGAGTTGTCACAAGGTAATTCATTAGGAAAGAATGTGGTTGTCTTCATATATGGTTTACTTCAAATTTTTCAATTTTTGAATAGTTGGATTTAGTTAGTAAATCTTACAGTTCAATATGTACGCATATATACATATATGTGGAGAGAGGAGAGTGAGTCTTTGAGGGATGGTAACTGGGTAGGCAAGATTTAAGGGGGTTGGAATGGTATTTTACCTGTTTGGTGTTGGATGCGACTCATTTGGAGATTTTAAATAGTAAAATAAAAGCAGTTCGTTAGCTACTTTTAAATTAAATATTGAGATTTTTTGTCAAATAAATTTCTTAACTTAAAAAAAAAAAAAAAAAATTAAAACCAAAAATCATGGTGGGAAAAAATTTAGAATATAAGTGCTTGTTTGGAAAAATTGTAATGAAGTTGGATGGATTGACTCGATTGAAACTAACCAACCAATTCGTCGATAAGAAATGGAAAGACGTGTGATTTGAGAAGAGAAAAGACTAAATCCATGCCAGTGAAATCTAACAATAGTAGGCATTTCTATGCATGATTCTTCAATCTCTTATCCAAATTCATGAATGAATTATTCGAGTGCTGCAGATTCCATATGCTTTGCTAACACCTTTACAAGCAGCAGTCGGAGTGGTTCAACATGTATTCCTACTTCTCTCTTCATATTAACTATTATATCATGTTTGTTACGTATTTTCGGATAAAATTGGACAGTCCTACGTAAGAAAAATAAGTTATACTGCTTACTCTTGTCCAAATACTAAGGGTCTGAGGCGGACCATTCCGAAGAACACTCACACGAAGCTTGCAGAACTGTTCGAGAAATGCTGGCAGCAAGATCCAACTGTTCGAGATCATTTTAGATTAAGTGCTAAAAAACACAGTTTCGTAACTTCTGGAAAAAGATAAAGCGTCCTAGTGAAGAAACTACAAAGATCTTGAATAACTAGTTAAGATCCAACTGTTTGAGTTTTGCGTTTTGAGTTGTGTTTGAGTGTCCATTTTCAGATTGTTGAAAATGTGTTCTTTTTGACATTTTGAAAAATTATTTTGAAAATACCCAAAACGTGTTTTGAAAATTTTGACTTGATTATAACTGAAAACACATAAAATGACAAATTTGTCGTTTTGAGTTTTCTTTGTAAATTTTTAACTTGTTTTCAAATACGCATTTTGGAAAATGGGAAAGAGAATGCGTTTTCATTGTTTTGAAAAATCGAAAACAGAAAACGACTCGAAAATGATAAAAACATCGGGCCCTCATAAACCCTAAAAAGGGTTCCAAAATATTCATATGAATCATTGTGGTAGAACACAAACCTTCTTAAGAATTTGGATTTGAAGATCGAATGAAAAAGAACAGAGATATTGGCACGGCTCAATCAAATCATAATAAAATTAAAATCTGAGTGAACCAGGCCAATATCACTGTTGCTGTTTCCATATAGCTCCCCAGAAACCCTATTTTCTCTCTCTTTCATTTCAGAGATTACAAATACATCTAAAGGGACACGAACAGCCATTGTTCTTACCAGGAAGAGGGTTTCTCTCTCTATCTCTATAATGTATGTATATGAGGGGGGAGGTTGTGAACGTCTGGAGTAA